GATGCAACAGATCTTCTTAACACCTAAAACCAGGACATGTGCACTCACACTCCCCTCAGAATTCTGCTCTTCTGCAAAACACTCACATAAAGAACTCCTTGAAGGGGTTTTACATTCATAAAGACATCAAGTGCATACTGCTTTTATAACTTTTATTTGCAGTACCCAAAGAAGGGTTTTGCACAGCAATTTTTGTTATTAGAAATCTAAACTGATTTCTCTGCTGCTTTGCTTTGGGGATGAGTTCTTTATTTGGAAAGATAAAAAAAGAAGACTGGATTATTCAATATAGGGCTATTCCACTTTCTTAGCATTTTGGATTATATTATTCTAACTAGTTAATTTCAAAGGTAAAAAACAGCAGGGGCATCTTCAGCTGCCTTAGCTATTATCCAAATAACCTTGTTTCAGCTGGAAACAACTTTCAATTAGAAATGTTCCCAGCTGTAGAACATTAACACATCTGACTGGCCAGACCAAACACTTTATGGAACAAACCAGAACAATTTATGGACAAATTCACAATTACAAGTAAAGCATCATGACAGGACAGTTCAAAACCTGATTCAGCTAAGATATCTGAGTCAAACAGAAAGCATGAAGTCAGTGCCATGCTGATCACAATTACATGACACTTCAGTGATACAGGGACAGGCAGTTTCAGGACATGCTTTCTAAGATCATGATTTTAAATACCCAAAAGGAACTCAAGTAAAAACAAAAATTTTTTTCTTTTCCTCACCTCTGCTGGAAATCCCAAAGAAACACATACAGCATACCAGGGTTAAGGTATGCAAAACCAAGTGAAGAATTTGTCCTACCTTCATTAGTTACAGGAGAAATATTTCCTGGCTTGCTTAAAAATGAAGCAAAGGAAAGCAGAAAAAAAGAAAAAAGGCTGGCATAGACAGACAGCCATATGACACAACTACCTGTTTAACAAGCACAGTGCTGGTGCAAAGTAAATGTAAATAAATTAAAACTCACATTTCAGAGTCATCCCGTGGACTGCAGCTCACATAAAGATGGAGGGGCTGTGGGTCAATCCTCTGTCTCTCTCTCCCATACGTGCTCGTGTCCTCAGACCGCTCCTGAGGAGACTTCACGGGTGTGGGTAGGCGGTCGTACGGTGGGAGCTCCCTCAGGAAGCGTTGCTGGACCTTTCCCCTCTTCAAAGCTCCTGGGAAGCGATCTCACCTTCCCAGAAAGAGCCCAAATCCCAGAAGCTCCCCAGTCCTTCAGCACACCATTGACCCTTGCTTCTCCACAGGTGGGATCTATCTCTGAGGGGAGCAGGGCAGCCTGCCACAGCTGCCCTGTGTAACAGCCATCGGGAACCATTGGCTTTATACCACCCTTGTCATAGAGGAGCCGGGCTTTTCTTTGTCCACGCCTTCTTTGAGGTCAGCTCTCTGACTAGCCCAACTCCAGGGTGCCTGTCCCTCCTGAAGCCCTCACAGCAAAAGGAAAAACCCCATTTTCCCAGCACCTTTCCCAGGACTAGGCTTTGCTGACAGCCCTAGCACTCCTCCCTGGCTCCAGGTTTCACTAAACTTGGTGATTTTTCTGTGCCCTCCCGCAGCCTTCATGAGGGCTCTCAACATGGTCCCTGCGAGGCACCCCAGGCGCTCAGGGGGCAGCACCCGGCTCCAGCAGCTGCCCCAGGCCTGTGGCGGCTCTCCTTAAATACATCTAAAAAAGGGCAAAATGCCACTTGGCAGCAAGGAATTTAGGGGAGAAGAGTGGGAAACAGCAAGAGAGGCTTATCTGGACACAGGAGGTTTTTCATCTCATTTTCTCCCTCTGTTGAGCTGAGGCGTGAGCAAGTGGCTGGGCAGGTGTGTGGCAGGAGGAATATTAGTTACAAAGATTAGTAAGTGAGGGTGAAAGTTTTGCTTCTGGCTCTTAAATGAGTCACAATGTCTTCCAAGAACTGAATGTACCAGAGTCTCTAGAATTCCCTGAAAGAACCGTTCAGCCATTGCCCGAGTGCACCATCCATCAGCAGGAACTGCACAGCCCACACGCAAATGGTGACTCAGGGTCCTTTGGAGGCATTGCCACAGATTAGGGAACTCAGTTTTCCCCAAACCTCACAGTTCTTTTATCAGGGATAACGCATCAGTCCACCAATGTCATAAAGACTTAAAGAGACTAGATTTAATGGATTATAAAAAGAATGTTACCAATCAGGAATAGCTGTTGACATCACAGCACTGCTACACAAATGCTTAGCATACATCACGTAATAGTATTTAAAAAAAAAAAAAAAAAAAAAAAAAAAAAAATTTAAATAAAAAAAAAAAAAAAAAAGAAAAAAAGCAAGCAGCTAGTATTCTATGTGTACCTGAAGAGAAAGAAAATAACAAGGATACTAGTAATGAGTTTCCAGAAGGCAGACACAAACAGCTGGGGTCTTCCAGGCACATGATAAAAGCTTTTCATGTGCAATCAGATTTAAAAGCTCAAGTTTATAAAGATGTTTGCAGTAAGCTATGAAAATAAATTGTTTAATGATTAGGTCAAGCAGCCCAATCCTAGAACCTGTTCCACAATTAATTTTATTGGTGCCTGGAATAATGACATGGTGTCTCTACTTAGAAACACTGCAACTACATTTCTGCTTCCAGCATAGAGAATAAATTTGTGTATGTGTTTGAGCTCATGATGCGCAAGACTAATTTAAATCAGGCAATGCATACAGACAAAAAGCAAAGGTATTTCTTAATTGAGAATTTAAGATCACAGTGTCACTGTTCAAAAAGTTATTCATTAGTACTGTGCAACCTGTCTCTGCTGGCATAGAAATAAGTTGTATTTACAATAATGGATAAAAGGTACTAACATTCTAGACTACCCATTGTAATATGGCTTCTCAAAAAGTGGCTGGCAGATTGTAAGCATGCTGGCAGCAGTCCCTTTGCAATAAAGTCAGACTTGCTGCGTCTTCAGAACAGCAGTAAATGATCTAGTTGAGTTCTTTCTTTTGACTGACTCAAAGACATTGATTTTTCTGAGATTGAAGAGTGTAATACTTACATGACTCAGTTCACATGGCACTGCTGAAAATGGGATAAATATATTTTGCTAACCAGCCCAGCAAAATAAGGGCACAAGTAAAACTCAAGAGTAGAGGTTTTGGGTAAGGTGAATTGTTTCGTTCATGCTCTGCTGTGCTTGTGATATTCCAGGCACTATTTTCCTTACAAGCTTTGACAGCAATCAGTACTCTCTTTACTGGGACACATCTAACACTGTAGTGGCTGCTCAGTCTAAAAAAGCCGAAACACTTGAATTAAAAAAAAAAAAAAAAAAATTAAACCAACAAACCAGTGAAACCAGTGTAACACTACCAATATAGTAAGGTTAAATTTCCTGAAATCACAAATCTGTTTCTAGCCTGTCTCCAAGGATTAGCACCATATGACTAACCACTCTGAACAGCAGAGCACAGACTCTGAAGACATGATACAGTAAGGATTGCTGACATGTCTTGACATTGCTGATCTTGAATTCCAACCATTCCTGCACAGCCTTAAGGTCACATTTCTGTGTGTGTGTGTACTGAAGATGTAAAGCAATAAATCAGATTACTGGTAGCAACAGTGATGTACTGTTGCAGGAACTTCAGAGAACAAGAAAATGCATCCAGGTTCAATTAATAAAAAAAAACAAACAAACAAACAAACAAAAAAAAGTGGTGTTTTCCCCAGAAAAATAATTAAAGGAGTCCACATAAATTCTGATCAAAGTTCCCATAATGAAATGACTCTAATATTGTAGCAAGGACTGGAGTAATTTTAAAATTTCTTTTTTCCTGTGCAGCAAGTAGTTTTTCACTTAACATCTGGATCTTAGAACACTTCATTCACAAATTTTTGTTCCCATTTTACAGATAGGAGAATAGACAGAAAAAGATCTCAGATATGGCTCAGAGTGACTCTACAAATTCACAGGTAAGATGCAGAATCAATGAAAAACAGGTATTACATATTCTTAACCAATGCCAAATTAATAACATTTAATGGTGCATCTGCTTGAAATAGGTCACAATAAATAGAAATAAAGATCCCTTAATTAATCAGTATTTTCAGGTCTTCACTTTGAAGCTTCAAGTATCAAATGAGAACTGAAATACCAAACAAATACTCAACTGAAGAGCAGCTATATTACACTGGCATCTTACTTAAATACACTGACCTGAGTGATTTTAATATCAACATTTCTTTATTTCTCCTTCTAGGCCTGGAGCACGAACATAGCTGAAAAGACTGGAAATGAATGTTCTTATTTTCTGTGCATCATCAGTAGAATTATTAAACTTTAATTTAATCTGAGCAATCTGTGGAAGTCAGACATGACCGAGGTCATGATCAGAAAACAATTGTCTCCTAATACTTACATTGTGCTAATTTTTCCCACTGAATTTCAAATGCCAAGGGGAACAGGAATAAAATCATAGTGGCTTCTCAGAGGCATTACAGCTGAGGATATTTCATTCTGTCAGCTTTAAAACACAGGGGGACACTTAACCATTTTTGCACCCAAATTTTATTAGAAAATATCAAGTTCAAAAAAGTTACTTTATGCTGCTGTTAGATTAAGTCAAAATTCTTTTTACTTGGATTTTAAAAAGTATCCAAAGTTGTACTCCTCCTATGTTACCCCTTAAAGATGAGGCAACACTAAAGGTTCAAGCCTACTGTAGTACAACTGAGGACTGAACTTATACTGCAAACAGCAGAGCAAGCTTCTTATTTATGCTTTTTAGTCAGAGTAGGAGGCATAAATTCATTGTTATTAAAATTACCTATATATGAAAAAAACTTAAGTTCAGGTATAAATGAATTTTGAGCTACTTACCAAAAATAACATTTAATTATTACAGTTTTTTAATCTGTGACTTTCCTTTTCGGGGAGAATAAAAACCACTGTCAGCTCTGACTCACGACCTGTGATTCGACCTTCAGACACCAAGACAAAAGAACACTCACAACTACTTCTACTTGAATATTGTTTTAATTTTCACTTCACAGCTGTAGTCACTAAACTCAACATTTTCCACACTGCATAACAAGCTGCTATTATAGGAAGTAAAGCAGTATAATTCAGCACTCTGAGCTGGAGAATCATAATTAGATGAAGCATTACCAAGATTCTTCTGTGCCTTAAGATATGCACCATCATTTGGCTTCATTTTTCCTGATGTCTCCTCATGGCATATGGGAGGATCAAGATATGAAAGCAGCTTTATTAGCTTTCAAACCAGCTTTCAGCAGCCTCCATTCTCAGCTCTTGTAACTATCTTGCACAAGTCCCCAAAGGATGCCTTTCGGCACTGAAGCAATCATTTCAGGTCATAAAAAGATAAAAAGCTTTAAATAACTCTTAATTTTTTTCCCCAGTGAGAAAATGATTTCTTATGTTCTCAAAATTAAAAGGACTTTGTACAAAGTTCTGGAAAGATCTGGTTTTAATTACATATTTCAAAACTGAGTTATCCATAACAATTCTACTGCTTATATACAGTAAATAAATATATTAAAAACTTAAGAGACCAAGAAAAAAAATAAGCAGACTAGACGGCAACTGACTCGGATGTTTTCTGGAAATGCACCATGAATGATTTGTCCCTTGTGACTGAAAACAAAGAGGGAGAAGAAAAGTGACAAAGAAAATGAGCTAAAGCAAGAAAATGTACCACCCTTTTTGATCTTGCATGCAAGCTGAGAATGAGAAAAAGTTTTGATCATTCAGTCTAGAGTCTTATTTAAAGATCAAAACAAGTCTATGCAGCTTAAAGCCTTACTTCATTAAAAGAAGCCATGCACAGTCAAAGAGCTAATTGAATGGCAAGGTGGACAGTCTTGCAGCTTTGCTTAAATTATAGAAACTTCATTAGAGACTGCCCTGTATTCCCCAGAAGACAATCAAGGTCCACTTGACAAGAGTTTTTTCCATCCAGTATGCTAGTTCTTTTCAAATCTTCCATTACCTACTTGCTACCTTAAGAATTATAGGTTGAGTTTTTATAACTTGTTAAGTAAACTACATATACAAATTTAAATCTTTCACCCATTTAGAAATAGAAACTGCATATACATATAGTATACAGAGACAAAAACTTAAGGACAAAATTAAAAACAAGTGACTCAACCTATCTGCTAAGCCTTTTTTATTTACAAAATTAAAAATACCAGTGATAAATTCTGCTGCAATATAAATGTCTCTTTGAGAATGTGTAAAGCTTTTGCTGAGACTGTATAAATCCTAACACATAACATGTTTTCTCAGCAAGTGAATCTATTTTTCCCATTCTTTTGAAGGTGCCACAGAGCTAACCAACATCCAAAACTTTCCTTACTGCAGAGGGAACAGGCTGAACATTTGAAAATGCTTGAGAGCACAACAGGTTAACAATGAGAAGAGTATTCAATGGTCAGCTGTTGAATTTAAAATTTCCATCTGCTGTCCACATTCTAGCCTTTTCAAATATTTTAACACATTATGTTACCGTGCCTTCAAATCAGTGTTGTCTTGCTATATAACACAAATCACATAAGATCAGAGCTAATTTTGATCTTCAATTATGTATGAGAGATCCAAAATCAGGTTGGCTGTCTCCAGAGCTACTTGCAGGCCACTGCACTTGGCAGCAAAGCAATCCAGAGTCCGGAGGTCAGCAACCTTTACTGAGGGCTCTTTAGGACAGCCCTGTAAAATGGGAGAGCTAGACTGTCCTTGCAAAAAGCTCCAGCTGAGGTCTTCTGTGTTATCATTCACCCCACAGCTGCATTTTGAAACTAAATCTGACCACCTAGAGGCACAAGGAGAACCTGAGGGAACAAACCAACAGTGTCCATAAACCACATCTGTCAGAACTTCTTCACCATCATGACTCAGAGAGCGAGCTACAGTCTCCAGGGAACGGCAAAACCCGTCAGCAACCAATTGGTACTGTGTCTGAGAACAACCCAAGTCTTTGAAAGTGCTGGCAGGCAGACTAGAACTCTAAAAAAGAAACCAGAACCAGGAAAGCAAAGTCAGAACACAGTTTCACAGAAATAATTTAAGGCATGTATCATACTGCTACTTCTTTTTCCCCCAAAACAGATGGTTCAGTTCTAACTAAAAAATGTTTAATTATTATTCCACAATAGGAAAGAGTCAAAGCGTCTGCATGATCATCTTCCCATATAAAAACTCTACATATTTTCAACACTTTAAAACATGCAGTTACTACAAGAGATACCTACAGAAAGATCAACAAGTACAAATATAGTGTTAAGTTTAAAAGAGAATTAAAACTGAGTGCTTCAAATATACCCCTTAATTTTATATTAGTAGTTAGCAAAAATGCCACATTAATCTAGAAAGTTTTACTGTTGCAGTGATTCAACATAAATTCTTATTTCTTAAGTACATTAAGCATCTTTAAAACCCATATGTCTTACATACCTTGTGTCTTATGTATGAAGCCAGGTGAGTTTCTGTACAGCCTCCTCCTAATAATGCCAAAGGTTCCTTCACTGTTAACTGTAACACATGTTCTGCAGTTTCACAGACACGCTGAAAATCACATGAAATTCTTGTTAGACATACCACAATTAATAGAATTTGTCCTCATTGAAAAAAACGACTGGAATAAAATCTTCAGCAGTTTCTGGTACAGATTCCATGAACTTGAATTACATGTGGATATAAAGCTGCTCAGAGATTTCCAAGACCATCTTCACTTAATGAGAAATTGTCTTTATTTGTCCGCACTATGGAGAGGCAGAAATAAAAAGCTGCATTTTAATCCTTCTTTTTCCAAAACAGGGCTATATATAAAAAGTCAGTCAAGTATCAATGACATTTCCAGACCAACTGTTCAATGCAAAACAACGCTTGACTATCATTGTATGTGTTGCTACTGGCATTTTGATTTTTATCTTCTCATAGACTAAATAATGAAAATGAAAATATTTATCCAGCACTGGCCTCAAGAACAGGTGAAAGATGTACCTGCCCCTAAACAACTTACTGTATTAAAACAGAGGTATTAAATGAACATAAGCACTTCAAGGATTTTGAAATTCTGGAAACATATGAACTTAATTTATGTACTGAAAAAATGATATTTCGAAACTCAATCTATTTATTATTTCTCAGTATTTTTCCATTAAAAACATGACTTCCTAAGAAAAGACTTGAATAAAATTTGCCTACCTTCAACTCATCCCATGCTGTTTCACTTCTGTTACAGAGTATCAGGCTGCAGATAACTGTGTCCTCAGGAATTAGATGTAAAAAATGCTTTGAAGCAAAACTCTCAATGCACAAATCTTTCAAACTGCCGTAACAGCCAGGAGACAATGAATGTATAGAAGCTATAGGCTGTGAACCTGTCAATTAAAAAGGAGAAAACAGTATGTGGTACCATCAGAACAGCTACCTGATGCATTTCATAAAGCATAAACTTTATTCCTCTTGGCTTTTTAACTTATATACATTGTTCAATACCTGTCACTTCAATTCACACAGGAAATCACAGAATCCAACACATTTTAACTGCAAGACTTTGTGGCAAATTGAAATTAAAAAAATAATTTTTTCATTTGTCTTGAATCAGTTTGAAAATAAACGAATTGGATATCCCTCATGCAGCAAGCAGTAATAACACCTGTGGTATGCCACCATCAAGGCCTTTACAGAAGACCTATTCATCTTGAAAAGTTATTTTTAGACTAGAAAAGAGCAACTCTTGCTCAGTGGCTAAGGCAGAAGGAAAGAAGAGACCTCCCTCTGCAATGACACCACCCCAGGTGACGCTCTCCTAATGACAACTCCAGGACAATGGTTTAGGCAGAGAACTAGCCTGTTACCTGTCACACGCCTCAGGGGCTCCATCAGAGACAGCCCTGCCCTGTCCACAGCCATAACACCATTCTCCTTCAGGTACTGCTTCAAGGAGGGATGCATCACCTTCTGGCACAGCACAAGGCCCACCTCATGCTTAACCAGCTGCTGCCCCACATTGAGCAGCTGATTCAGCTCTGACGCTTCCAGAGAAACTCCGTGATGGACTGCTATAGTTCCTTCCTCAGGGTTAGAGCTGTCACCTGACATGGACACACTGAAAAGTGCAATCTTGATCACGTTTGAACCAGTCCTTTTGACAGCAAGTGGTTTTCCCAATTGGATTTCTGGCGTTTCTATCAGCAGTCCAGGAAGAACTGCAGAATCCACAACTCTTCTACCTTTCACAGGTATTACCACACACTTGCCTAAAACAGCATTAGTCTCAATATGACACGGAACAGTAAATATAAAAGCCTTTAAAACCAGCGAGGTGAGATGATCAACTTCAGTTTTATTAAGCATGCAAGCAGGTTTGCTTGTTAAAATGCTCCGTACCAAACAAACAAGAGTCTCAAGACTGCTAAAATCCACAGACACCCGGCAACCACAGGCCTCAGATTTCAGGTGGTTCATGCACAGACTCAGAAGATGCTTGCTTATTTGAATGACAGTAAAAGGTGCAACATTCAGGCTCCTGAAATTTTCAATGAAGCCACAGCAAAGAATGGCAGTGAATAAGCCACAGTCACTGAAACGTGACATGTGGTTCAATACAGAGGCTGTCAGGACACGCAGCACGGGCTGGCTGATGGAAAGGTGCCCCAGGAGGGCTGAGGATTGGGAAGTGGCACAAACACAGCCCCCCGCACCATTGTGGAGCTGTTTGAGTCGACCAGCAGGACCGTAGGAAGATTTTAATACCCCACTCAGCAGAGACAGTGACTGACTCACTGCATCTCTAGTTAACGGCTTGCTAGTAAATAACGGAGGCTTTTTAGCTTCAAGGCGAGACATTTTGAAGGTAAGACTTTAATTCTAGCCAAAAAAACATTTCATTTTTGCTTGGATCCATAATTCATTGCACTTTCATATTTTAAGAGTAGTACATTTTAATTCTTTGCAGGTAAGGATTATTTTCGGTGTGAAACAGTATATATAACATTCCTGAAACTACTCATCACAGCTCTCTTAAAACGAGGCTTAAATCATGCAAAATGGATAAACAGCAGGGCGCTATTTCATTCCAGACGATTTTTTCTAGCTTCTGAATGAGACTGGGCAGACTTTTTTGCAACATAGTTTACAAGTATGCTTCCTATATGGACACCTATAAGTGACAGTCCTGCCACAAGCAGAAAGTTCTTTCTACTCCAGGTAGTTTTCTTCATCTTTTCTGGCAACAGTCACAGATGAAAACCTTCAAGCTTAGTTATACCTACAATAAAAACCAGAAAGATATTAGAATAATCTTATGAAAATATTGTATAACTTGACCTATTTTAGTTTTCACCAAAAAAAGTCACAGAAGGACAAATACTGCATCAAAAACCATTTAGGTTGGAAAAGACCTTTGAAGTCGAGTCCTGCTGTTACCCCAGCACTGCCAAGCCACCTTTGAACCATGTCCCCACATGCTACATCTATGCATCCATTAGGTGACTCAGCCACCTCCCTGGGCAGCCTGAACCAGTGTTTGACAACCCTTCCTGTGAAGACAGTTTTCCTAATACCCAATCTAAACCTCCCCTGGTGCAACCTGAGGCTGTTTCCTCTTGTCCTAAGCACTTGCTACTCGGAAGAAGAGACCAACCCCCACCTTCCAGGTGGTTGTAGAAAACACCACATTGCCCTGAGCCTTCTTTTCCTCAGGCTGAAGACCCCCAGCTCCCTCAGCACTCCTCACAGGACCACTGCCCTCTCGGGACTCATTCATACCTCAGTGTCCTCTCTGAAGGCTGGAGTCCCTCAGCAGTGCCAAGCACAGGGGACAATCACTGCCAGCACACGCTGGCTCATGTTCAGCTGCTGTCACCACAGCATTCCCAGGAACCTCTCCAGCCACTCTTGCCTGTAACTCGGCATGGGGCTGTGACCCCAGCGCAGGACACAGCATTGTCCTGGGCTGGGGTCAGGGCTTTGTTGAACCTCCACTGGCCTATGCACTCTCATTTTTAACTGAGAAAATCTACTAATATGATTTTACTACAAACACAGAGAGCGCACCAATTATACCTGTCTATTAATAACTTCAATTCTGACCTCTGGTCTGTACTGTTATCAGCAGGTCTGTAAGTAGCAGGCTACCATCAACTTCATTGAATTGCACTGAAGTACCAAAACTACAGTGATAGTCACCTGATTTTACTCAAGAACAAAAGAACTCAACTAGTCAGCAGTACTTGCCAGGCAACAGAAACAACAGCTTTTGATGTTCAAACAAGGTTTCTTATTTCAAGAGGCCCGCAAAGAAAGTTTTTCAGTTCTTATAACAGTAAAACTTAAATCAACGCTTATTTACATTTCTATGCAAACTCTACAGTATTTACACTCGTACTTCCTTTTGTTTCATTCTCTGTTGTAATCACTATCCCTACTCAGTCATAATATGTTACTTTGTACAGTCAGAATTATTTCTGGGCAGTTTTAAGCCTGAAAGGACACTGTTATAAATCCAGTCACATGAGTTTCATTGCCGTCCTGAAGTTACTGGAGCTTGTTTTAAAATATCTTTAAGACACATAATACCCTCACTTAACTGAGCTCATCGTGTGGGATTTAGCAGTAGTTTTTGAAATTTATGATGCACTTTTTGGGTCCATGTAGGTACAAAAAATTAACTCAGTTGCAAAGTAGAATAAAGCTCTGAAAGACTAAAGTTAGAATACCAAGGCTGTATGTTTAAAAATTCTCAATTAATTCATCCTCTGCCTCATAAACACAGACACAACTAATTAGGCAACTTACCCAAAAATCAAAGTACTAATGCTATTTTTCTTTGCTTTTGCGAATGCTTTGCATCATGAATGTCAGAATGTCACGTTCTGGAGAAAAATCCTCTGTCTTCACTTCGAAAATAGGACTGGACTTCAAGTAATACCAGCCCCAGTGCACTAGCCCCAGGCTAGCTCCCATAACAATCAGAACTTTGTTGTCCTTCCAGAAGGTTTTAAGACTCATTGCAAACTGGCATCTACCTAGGTAAAGATAATTTATTATTTTAAACATATTCTAGAAATATTTTTTTCCTTACTCTGTAATAACAACAATGAATACATGAAGCTGAATGTTAATACCTTTAATTGCAGTGCAGCAGATGACTAAAACACTAAACAAAAAGCCTTACTTTGTGAACAAAAACGCATCTCAATTCAGACATTTTGAAATGTTAATTGCTGCATTGTCTTCGAGCTTTGGCATGCTAAATCTTAAACACAACAAAGCTTTATCTAATTATCTATTTACAAGCACTAGTGCCCAGATGGTAAGCATCTGAAGCCCAAAAGCAGGTTCAAAATACACCTTTCTCCCCATAGTTAATAAAATTCAATGAGTAGCTGAGCTCCCAAGGTAATACAGAACTCTGAAATTGCAGGCAAAGCAAGGTGTGCAGCTCCTGAAACCACTTTACCTTTGTTCAGCTTTGCCTGACCACCTTATAGTATTCAGAAGCGGCACCATTACAAAGGGAGCAATTAACTAATCCTCGTATAATAAGAAGGTGGAAAAAAAACCCCAACATACTTTCCATGGGATTTCGCACGTATACTCATGTTTTATACCAAAATACCTCACTGGTTTGAGCGGCCACAAAGCTGTAACTCGGAGAGGAGATGCTCCCACCCCCGCCCAACCCCATGACCCTGACAGGTGTAACCCGGCCGACCACCCACCCCTCCCGCACCCCGGAGCCCTCCCAGCCCCCTGCTCCTCCTTCCCCGCGGCACAGCGACCTTGAAGCGCGGGCGGCTGAAGGCACAGCGGCGCGAAGAAGGTGCCACCGAGGAGGCGAGCACTCACCCGCCCACCCCCACACGTTCAAACACGCCCCGGCAGGAAGCAGAAGCACGCAAGAAGCACGGCCCCGGACATGCCGCGCCGCCCCTCGCCGCCCGCCATTAGCCGAGCGCAGCGTCACTCGCGACCCGGCCCGCCTCAGCCGCTGGCGGCCATTTTGCGTGCGGGCACGCGGGGCGGGCGGCGGCGCCGGGCGCGGCCATTTTGGGTAGGGCAGAGGAGCGGCGGGAGGCGGGAGGCGGGAGGCGGGGGGAGGGTATGGCCGCCTTGTGCCGCCCGGCGCTTGCGGCCGCGCCTGGGCTCCGGCCCCGCTGTTCTCTTCGGGTGAACCTCTGAGGGGATGCTCGCAGGGCCAGGGCTCTGGCGGCGGTGCCGATCGGCTCCCACAGAGCCTCCCTCAGCCGCTCTTTCCCGTTCCTCAGCCCCGCCCAGCCTGGCCGGGCATAAAAACGTGTATATATCTGATTTTTCTTCTTTGCATGCCTGCTACTGTGGCCACTCCGCCTTACACCTGCGTCCAGCTGTCTGAGGCTTCCTGTGGGCGGGCGAAAGTGCCCCGGCCAAAACAAGTTCAAATAACTTTGTTCCCTAACCTCCGGTTTCCGTTAGCTCTTTTGCTTTCCTGTATTCACTCCTGTAAGTACAAGAAATACTCCTGTGAATACAGTTATACTTCTGTGTTCACTCTTCTCTCTACTCCTGTAGTCACTGTCTAGAATATCTCGTTTTATATTCATTTGTTAATGAATGGGTTTGTTTTCAATTTCGTTTATAGTTGCAGAGTTTATGACTGTAGCCAAAAGACAAGTATTTAATGCCTGATCCCCATGCAGAAATGAATATAATTTCTAAAATAGTATAGTAATTTTTCCTTGCAAATTGCAATCATCTGTTCCACAAAAGTTTAAAAATATAATAGTACCTGTTTGTGGCCCTGTGATGCTCCTAAGAACCTCTCCTCCCTCTAGTTCTAGGCAGTTCTGTGATGACTGGGTCACGTTTTGGAAACTGAATTGTTGAGCCTTAAAGGTGAATTGGCAGTTTATGAATGAAGGAGTGTAAATAACAATGAGGAGAAAAGGTGCTGACTTGGATGGAAGAGTATTTTTCAAGGATTAAGTGGAGTAATTGGCAGCAGTGGGCATAGAAATCCTGAATGGCAGATAGGAAGATCGTGGTGTATAGAAATACTGAATGGCAGATGGGAAGATCGTGGTGTATAGAAATACTGAATGGCAGATGGGAAGATCGTGGTGTATCTTTTCGGAACTGGGGATGCTTTACTGGCTGTGTGAGTAGCTGAGCATTGCACTGCTCATCCCAAGCTTAGGATCTGCTCCCAGAAACTGACAAGTGCTGGACGGGAAAGTTCAGAAAAGTCTTTTATGTTGTGATAGTTAATTTTGTGTACAAAAATACTTAATATCAATTTACCCTACAGAGTTCTTTAATTAGTGTTTGTTTCTGCCGCTTTCAGGTGCCCCCTCTCCCCACTCAGAGATGGGCAGTGGGTGAAGCTTGCTGCTGTACATCCAAGTGTGTGCCAGGAGTTTTCAGTTCCTCCTCCCTCTGAGCTCTGCATTTCCTCACCACAGGAAGCTGCTTTGCCAAGGTAAGATCCTTTTCATCAGCTGGCAGAGGACACTTGAGCTTGCTCTCTGGATGACCATGTGCTCTGGCTTCTCCTGAGTACCCACCGCTCCATTTGACTCAAATTTAGGGGAGAAAGTTATTCTGCCATGTTATTTTTAAAGTGCATCTCACTCTAGCTACAGGCAATCTATGTGTTTGATTCTAAATCATGTCTTCATGCACAGGTAGTATCAAAATTTTATGTCTTGGAATACTACACATCCTGTATCAGGACTTTTTTAGTATAAATATATATATATAGTCTTGCGAGGAGCTTTTCTGCCATATTTGCTTATCTTCATGTGTCCTTGTGTGGTGTTTACTTTAGAGGTTTGCAACAGAAAAAGGATTCCATGAGACAGAATCTTGCTGTCAAACAGCAGCAGTTGTAATAGATCTGTGGTTTTGGTGTTTGGTGTTTTATTAAACACAGGAAGTGGCAAAGTATTTTGGGACTAGTTGTTTTTGGTTTGTTTTTTCTTTCCTTGAAAAATCGGTGAGTGGTTTTCCTTATCTTCTGATGTCTTAGTATTGAGTATTTTTTCACCTGGGCCACTTCAGTGATTTCCCTGATGGTTCACAAATAAAATATTTTCCTTTTTTATTCTGTGGATTTTCTTACATTTTGTCTGTCTGCTGTATTTCCTTTGTCTTATCTGTGTGGTCAGTGCAAAGAATTGGGGTAGTTGGCAAACTCCCAAAGTTGGCTTACACCCAGGAAGAGCAAACTGAACCAAAGCTAACTTCTCTTGTGTGTCCTTTTCCTTTTTATGTTTTTCTTCTGTTATTTTGTAAATTGGGTTTGGAGGGGATTTTTGCATGCCAGCAGTTTTCACGTGAGTAGTAGCAGACGTGTTGCAACAGTATTATTCTGGAAATTAAACTGGTAGCAGAAGAAAGCAGTGATGTCAGGGTAAGTTCAGCAGAGCTTTCTACATGACTGAACTGAACTAGGATGTCTCAAGTGGTCCAGAGCTCTGTCCTTTGCATTGTGTTTCTCAAAATTGCTATCGGTAAAGTTGTCAGGATTTAATGAGATAAAATGGAGACATTTCCAGGGCTGTTTGGTGCAAGGGAGAATGATAGCGAGATGGCACAAGGCATGATGGCATTCCAGCTTCTGTGTGCAGGACTGTTAAGAATTTTAAGATTAAAATCATCGTGCTACACTGTGTAGTTTTAAAGGCTGTTTGTTTATCTTGTTTTGCACTTTTTTGAGTTAAATAATGATAACAATTGCATTGTGAAATGTGGAAGCATAGTGTGTGACAGAAATAAGTATCCCCAGCCTGACTGGTGTCCCGAAACATCGACAGCTCTATCGCAGTACTTACCTGTGACTTGAAATACAAAATGAGAAATATATACACATTCCTCAATTTTTAATATTTGCACTCAGGATCCCAAATGAAGTGATTTAGGTCCTGTTTTGGATAAGCAAGGGAGGAGGATGTCCAAAGTTCAGTTTACTTTTGTGCAACCACCATAAGACTTGGGTTATGGTGCTTTATGTGTATAGTATAAAATTTTAAATCTACATAACATGTATGTCTGGATGGACACTAAGTGAGCCAAAAGCTGTAGTTTCTTACTTGAAAGAGTTCTAACTTTGTACTTCCCGTGTTGGATGCAAAGTGCCAAAGTGCCTCCAAAGTTATGAGGTTCACTAAATGAAACCAACACACGTAGCTAAGTAATTGTCCTTTAAATAAGAGTTTTCCTTATTTTACTAAAAGCAGAGTGTAGGGTTTGAAGAAGAGTAGTCATGAAGGAATGGGCCCCAGATGTAAAATTCATTCTTGATTGCTGTGGAGATCTGAGTGTTTCTCCAGTGCTGATCACTTTTAATTGGTATTTTTATAGGACCAACTTACACTGACCTATCATGGCATCCAATAAATTTGTCATTAAGGTAAGTAAAATGTCATAGCTTTAAAAAAAGAATAAATCTGTAATACTGCTTAGAATGTGTCTGTTGATACTAAAAGTGCATGCTTCAGGCTTCTGGTCATAGAAGCATACTTGACATGAGCTTTTTTTCTCCCTCTGGAAGCAGACTTGGAATTGCTGCTGTGTCATGGCAGAGTGTGTCTGGGGTCAGCTGAGGATTAAAAGGCTGTAACTAAAAGTGATTAGTTGTGCAGTGAGAATTAGAAACTGCGTGAATTCTCAATAAAACAGTATTTGCTACCTGAAAATCTGAATTAAAATTTTAGGTGGATTATTTTCTTACTGAAATCTTGTAATACTATTTATGTACTTCCCAGGTCTAAAAATTCTTGGTTTAAGGTGTAGCAATGTTCTTAAAGTATTAATTTATTTGTTTCTTTTTTTGCCTCTTTTTCTATTTTCAGGGATTGGTTGTTTCATGTGCAATAAAATGCTATTGAAGTTCATTTTGCAAACAGTCCTAGACTTTTAGTTATGTGCTGAAGAGCAAAACTTTCTAAAACATTCTGTAATAAACATAACACTTCATAATTCTACAACTGTGACTATACCAGCTAATCAATAAATAAGCCTAATTGTGTTAGCTCAACATATTATTCGCTTGGAAGTGTTTTTCCAGAAATTTTCATAACACAACAGATTTTTCTTCTATGGATAGGCTTGGAATTTTCTTGGAGGGCAGCTACAAAATCCTTCCTGAGGGATCAGGCTGTGGAAACTGTCAAAGCTTGGTTTTGTGGGTAACCAGCCTGTTTAATGAGACGACCAAGCACTTAAGTTTTGTGTGCTGTGTGCTCTTTTCCAAGGAAAACTGCTGTCATTTAGTGGGATGTTTGCTTTTTATTTTTACCTTTTAACAGGATTGTAAACCTTCAGAAGGTTAACAGTATCCTATTATTCAGTGTTGCTGAGTTGGTAGAGAGACTTAGAGGAGAAATGTATTTGATTTTGAGCACATTTTAGCTGATACTCTGAGTCTGTGCACCACTGATGTGGATAACAACAGGAGCTGAGGCTGAAGGCATTGCTTTTCTCTGCTGAGAACTCTCGATATTATGAATATCGAGGTATCTCGGTATTCATGTAAGTGGCCAATAAGAAAAGTGGTGTGAGTTGGAATGTCTTTACTCAATGAAAAGTCTGAAGACTCTTGGTTTCTGACCTGCATCATTACAACTTCATTATTCACCAAGGATGTGTACCTGGTAATCAGCATGGACCTTGCAATCACCAAGTTTAGCATCCCTGACTGCCTGAGCAAGGGCTAGGTTCTCATTGAGCATGTCTGTAGGTAAGCAGTATCACAGATAAAGCTTTTGAAAATGCTAATGAAATACAACTTTTTCTTCCTTACAGTATTTGAGGAATGAGAGTAAGTTTTTGCATGTACCAAATGCTGAAAATTAACTTTGCCTGGACCTGATTGAAATTGACTTTGTGCATAGGTTAACAATTTACTTGTTAGG